AAAACCTACTTTTTTAAGGACTTATATATACAAACCATAATAGGGAATTCTAAAAAGATAGGTGTTTTCGGCCACAGGTAGGGTGTCGGGTTTAAGGTTTAGGGTGACCCTAAACCCTAAACCTTAAACCCGACACCCTCAACCGGCTTAGGGCTTAGGGCTTCGGGCTTCGGTTGCTTCAGAGGCTGAAGATAGGGGCTCCCACAAAGCGCTCCTTTAGGGGGTTTCTTTGAGGGGTTGAGGGGGAGGGTTTAGGGTTCAAGAGTTTCAGGGTTTGAGGGCGTACTTTCCTTTAGTAGGGTTTAGGGTCAAGACCCTCAGCCCTAAGCCCTAAACCCTCATCCCTCAACCCTAACTTTATAGGAACCCCCTGCAAGGGATCTACTTTTTGGATCCTCCCGGGGGGATAATACTTCCCTGGTCAAATTCACACCACCCACGATCTTCAGCAATCCTGGCGCAACCCGGCCGGCGGCCGCGAAGATGAGTCGGAGGAGGCGGAAGACGAAGAACAGTGAAAGATCCCGATCGCCCGCGGGAAGAGCTCGTCGTACCTTCGACTAGTTTTCTCTCAGGTGGTTGCTCTTCTTCTTCTTCTTCTTCTTATCTTCTTGCCGTTCTGTCTGAGATGGACGCGGCGGAGATGACCCATGGCAGAATTACGAGTTCTGCATGGAGCTCTTCACGGACGGGGAGCAGGCGCTCATCGGTGTCATCTGCCTGGCCCTCTCCGTGGTGGCCATGCCGGGTCAGCACTGCCGGTGGTGTGCAGCTTGGCTTATGGCTTAGAATTACGGTTTAAGTTTTAGGGTTCAGGGTTTAGGGTTTAGGGCTTAGAATTAGGGTTTCAGTTTTAGGGTTCAGGGTTTAGGGTTGAGGGCTTCTCTAGCTTTTCAAGGCTTTTCATGCGTTCCTTGGCGGTGCTATTTCAATGCATCATAATTGCCTTTACACGGTTCAAAAGGATTTACCCTAAACCCTAAACCCTAAACCCTGAACCCTAAACCCTAAGCCCTAAACCGTCTGGTAGATCCTAAACCCTGAAGTTGACAGGATCCTGCTTATGTAAACTCTACGAGAAGGACCCCCTGAAGTCCGAGATTGAAACGCCCTCCACAACCCTAAACCCCAAAACCCTAAACCCACGAGTTCTGAGGCTTCTAGGAGCAAAAGAAACCCTACTCCCTGAGCCTTAAATCCTAAACCCCAAACCTGGGTCCTTGTTGGATACAATGTTGCATTGTTGTTATAATAAAACCCAATAAGGATTAAGAAATGATCATTGTTCTTATAACCGTAGCAGCCCTAGCAAGAAGCCAGAAACCCTGAACCCTAAACCCTGCACCCTAAACGCCCCCTCCCTGCAGCGCCAGGCGATGCTCTCGGTAGCCGGACTGGAGCAGTAGTGGTCTCAGCCTTCCCTCGTCATCATCATCATATATATATATATACATACTTGGGTTTGGGGTTTAGGATTTAGGGGTTTAGGGTTTAGGGTTTGGGGTGTAGGGTATGTATGTATGTATGTATGTATGTATGTATGTATGTATGTATGTATGCGTGTATGTATGTATGTA